GAGAGGTGTTTTTTAAAGTCTGGTAGGAATTACAGGAAGCTGAAAGCTTGATTATTATGGATAAGTGATGAAAGAAATAAAACAGTGGCGTTTTATCATGTTTACCCATGTTTGACCCATTTAATGTCCCGTTGTCACATATGCAAAAAATGTAAGTAGGAATCTCCACAGTGGAGTCAGAAAATAATAAGAAACGGAGAGAAGCTCTAACCCTTCCTACTCTATTTAAATTTACAGACAATAGTTTGAACAGTTGATTGGCTTTACTGTAAGTCTTCCATAAAAGAGCTAATTCTTCCCTGTCTCCTCTTCTCCCAGATACAAGCATTCACATGTCCAGAAATCCTGACTGGTTGTGCTGATACAGTGTTTGGTGCAGCACATAAAATTAAAGTTTGATGGGATGGGAATTTTAAAGAAACATGGCAGTGATTTGAAAGTTTGGAGAAATACGGCAGTGAATTGAACTAACTGTTCAGTAAATGGAGGGTTTCATAGATCATGGCTGCAAGTTGAATGTTTCCTGTCATAGGGAGTATATTGAAAGCCTGATAGAATCACAAAGTAGACATACAGTACTGATAACAAATATTAGCGCTTGCAAAGCATGACAAGCTAAATTTGGTTAACCTACACACGTAACAATTCGATGGCATCGTTCTCAAAATATCAGAAGCTAGCTGTTGGGTGTGAAGTGTTCCATAAAACACAAACAATTAAATATGCTCATAAGAAACCCTGAGTGGAAGAACATGGATTTTTTGTTGTTGCAGTTTTTAAATGCTTTTTTTGCACCTTATGTTAATATGGAATCCCTTTCTGAGCACATATGTTACACAACAAAAGAAATAAATGGAGCAGGCACATATTAGATCCCTGTTTATGCTGTGAAGTTAACCTGCATAACATTTTTTTAGGCCCAATGGTGCTTTGTAATCCTTCAATTGTATGTTCTGTTGTACTTGCAAATTGTAGTCAGTAACAAACAAGATTGTCTCAGACCAGTTTACCTGATTATAGAATACTATTGAAAAACCTTTAAATGGCTGTGTATGGTTAGAATTAGTTTTGACAAGCAATCCTTCTAGTTCATACATTAGCCAATATCAAGATCTCTATATTTATAATTGTTTTCTTAGGTGTTTCCTTTTTCATTTATTGGCCAATTGTTTCATTTATTTATTGGTCAATTGTTAAGTAAGTACAGACAATCATGATCTATGTGTATTTAGACAGTAGACCACTGTTAGGCTACTGATGCTATAGTAGGGGCAACAGGGGAAGCCCACCATTTAGTGGGCTCATTACTGGGGGTTAAAATTTCCCATTGGGCATGGAAAGGCCCTTTAGGTGAAGATTCCAGTATTTTCCCATAATTCCCTTCCTATACCTGTAAAGTGACATAAGAATTCGGTCAGTTGATAGATCTTCCTACTAATTTCCATATAGTGTTTGCTTGCTCCAAACTCTGCCTTTTAATAATTACTCAATTTAAAAAACGGGTTACAAAAGAGGAAACTTGATTATGAGCTTTAATGGGTAGCAGTAGTTGTGCCTGAATAAAATGTTCTGTATAATATTAATTAGGATCTTTTATAATTAACATGTGCTCTTGTCTCATTGTTTGTTTAACTTGGAAGGTGAAATATTGCAGAATTCAGGTTTCTAGGGTTAGGAAATGTAGCAAGATGTGAATAAGATAGCAGACTGAGATCTAAAGATTATCAAGGAGCCCGTGGAAATGTCTGCTTTCTTTTTTTCCTCAAGTACAACCCTTATCAAAGTTCTAGCCTAGTTCAGTAATAATACTATAGACTTCAGCAGGGCAGTATAAGACTTTTTATACATATAGGACTGACATGATTCATTTATTTTAAGAGCGTATAAAATGTACTGCTTATTTGTTAAATTGTTTTGGCATCATTTTAATTTTCAATTAGTAAATTAAAGCTCTACAATGCTCCTAAAGGGATATTTTATCTCAGATGCGGTTAATATTGTTTAAACATCTTGCAGATTTACTAAAGGAAATACATTTAAATTCCTTTTAAAATCTGGACCACAGCTCATCCGTGAAGCACAGGAAATTGTGCTTGACAGATGCAATCATATGCAAATAGCTGTAGAAGAGGTGAAATTATCATCTGCAAACATTGGGCCAAAATTCCATCTGCCACCTCCTGAGGAAGGGCTCTTAATAAATTCTAAGACAGCAAAGTGACACACATCTTAATCAAGACTTAATCCTAGGAATTAATTCCATGTGAGTTTATGCATAATTCCGGTGGCAATGCTTAAAAAACCATGGCAGTTTCAGCGGCAGATGGACTCTCCGGACTTCATGCAAAGGCATTAAACAGAGACAGAGAGTGGGAAGACCCCTGAAATGTCAGTCCTTGTACACAAATGCTGGGCACTGCACAACCCACAGCGTCTATGGCTGACTTCAAAGGTTGGACTTCCAATTATTACGACATGGGAACTGCATACAAATCAATGCAAATACATCTGCTATTAGGCTGTCTCTTGAAAAAAGTCAGATCTATAAAAAAGAAAAAAATCAAATGCATTCTGGACTTATACAATGTCTGTAAAACAAGGATTTCACTTGTATGGGGGAATGGAGCAAAACTTTGTGATATGAAAGAAGCATTTTGCAAGAAATGTACTGTTACTGCCTTCTATGTGATGACATCACTTTAAATATATAGTTGCCCACACTTATGAATAGGGTTGAGCTCGATGCTCAAGCTGAGCGTGAGTTCGAACATCGGCAGTTCATGTGTTCGTGTCAGGGTGTTCGGCGGGCTGTTCGCCGCTGAGCACCACGCACAAGGCCGAGCACCACAACGCACAAAGAAAACAGTGAGAGCCATGATCGGGCAAAATTATGAAGACTCAATCATGGCTCACCCTGTAACAACTGTAAAGAGTTGGGCGGAGCTAGCTGTCACTGCTAGCTCTGCCCAAATGTTTATATGTTACGGGCATCTGTCAAAATGCCATTATGCGGCGCATATTCGTCGCAAGTGAACGGGATGGCGTTCCTCTTTTTTTTCCATTACTATTTCTAATTATTTTATATTGTTTTATTTTTTTATTTCGTTGAGTCGTCGTCGTCGTGGACAATGCTGGATGTCGTGGTTGACATTGGATTACATCGATGGATCAATTTTTTTTTTAAATAAAGGACTTGTCAAAAACATGTCTGTTTTTTTTTCAAATAAAGGATTTTTTCAAAAGTCTGGACTTTTTATTTACAATTTTATTTAACCCTTTAGTGAATGGGTACCCCCTAATCATTCACAAGGGGGGGGGGGCATCTGGGTGCCCCTTTATTAAATGGGTACCCTAATGTGAATAAGCCCCTTTCCCGCACCACCACAACCAATGCCCCAGGGCTTATGGGGAAGAGGCCCTTGGGGACAAGGTGTTTTTCCATGGGGCAACCCTGGAAAAGTACCCTCCCAGTGCCAAGGACATGTGGCCTGGTATGGGAGGAGGCGCTCGCTTGTCCCCCCCTTTCCGGCCCTGCCAAGCCTATGCTCGGTTTAAGGGTCTGGTATGGAATTTTAGGGGGGACCCCATTCCCCCCCCCTTTTTGGGGCTGGGGCTCCTCCATAAAATTCCTACCAGACCTTAAGGGCCTGGTATGACTTTAAGGGGGAACCCCCACACACTTTTTTTGTTTTTTTTACGCGGGGTCCTTCCTAAATATTCCTACCAGACCTTAAGGGCCTGGTATGACTTTTGGGGGGACCCCCATACTTTTCTTTTTTTAAATGTGGTCCCTCCTAACATTCCTACCAGACCTAAAGGGTCTGGTATTGTTTGGGAGGGGGAACTGCACTCTTTAAGAATTAAAATAATTTTTTTTCTTTAGAAATGTCAGTTTTGCTGCAGCAGGTTCTATACATTAATAATCCGAAAATCACTGCGCTAGGAGTGAGTGACTCAAAAACTAATTGGACCAGCGGCAACTATGTGTGTAGGTGAATCTAATGTGTAGCAAGTAAGTTGCGCTCGGTCAGATTGTGAATAGGTGTTGAAATAAATGTAATAATCTCTCGAAACAAAGGGAAAGATTACCTGCAGATAACATAATAAATATCTCCACTAGTGACAGTGAATGAATGGTTAAAAGCTATGTGAACGTGTCAATCACAGCCCGGTGTTACTCGAGTGTTTGTATATGTATAGTGGGCTTTGACATACTGAACAAATCATTTATATCAAAAACATCCGTATGGGCATTTTTATGAAACAGTGTATATGTGAATGAACAATTAATAAAATCAACTGTGTATGAAGTCCAATATGTGAAAAAATTGTGTATAATCAATAATCATAAGTGAAAAAAAGGGCATATAAAAAACGTATATAATACATAAATCTGTATAATGATTAACCGACAAATAATGAGTGATAGAAAATACAGTGCAACCCAGTGCGCTCTGGTTCCTCTCAAAGCGGGAACTGCGGGGTTCCGAGCGCAACTTACTTGCTACACAGGTTCTATACATTGTACAGATGTGCCACTTTACAGGCAGGTTAAGGGGACCCCCAGGCACGATATTTAAAGGGATTTATTGTTTTTTAATTTTTATTGCAACCCTTTAAGTGATGTTAAAATCACTGCTCCTTTAAAAACTGTATTTTTGTAAAGTTTTTTTTTCATTGATACATCTCCCCCAGGGCAGTACCTGTATCCCCATACACCTTTTATGGCCACTAAATTGTATATAAGGCTTCAAAATGGGGACATTTGATTTTCAATGTTCTACCCCCATAGACTGGCATTGAGTTCGAGTTCAAATATGAACTTTTCCCATGTTCGAATTCGAACTGAACACGGGGATGTTTGGCTCATCACTACTTATGAATATTAAAAAGAAACTTGTCATGACACAAATATGGACACTGCAATGCCTGGACTCTTTCTGAAAATGCTAATTCCTTGTCTGTCACTCACTTTTTAAATCAGTGCAAGAGATGCATGCAGCAAGTCAGAACTCTTGATTTGTATACTTGTTCAGGATCAGAGGCTCAGAAGGTATTGAAAGCAAAAGGTATGATGTTCAGCGACAGTATTGACCTGGCTAGTACAAACATTGTTACTAGGTATATGTAGGGTTCACCGGTTTGCATCCTGTTCTGCAAAAATAGTGAGACTTCTGTGTAGGTTCACCTATAGCAGCTGCCATTTCCTTAAGGCTAGTATGCCTACTTGGATGTTCCTACGACTTAAGGTGCTATGCTATATGTGCAGGTCCAGGACACTCCCCAGCAAACCTCAGAGAAAGAGTTTGAGAACTGTGTGAGATGGCTAGGTTCAAGGCAGGTGCGGTGTGCAGGAGCGACCAGGGTTTGTGACTGGATGGAGCTTTCAGGGGTCTGTGCATGCAGAAGGCAATAATAGAGTCCTTTATCCAAGCTAGAGGAGAGCAGGTAGCAATCAGAAGGATAGTTGTATCCATGCACGAAGTCAGGACAGGCAGCAGTCAAAAGAGTAGACATATACAGGCAAGAGGTCAGTAACAACAGCAATCCAGAAACAAAGCAAGGCTCAGGAATGAAGCCAGGAAGCTAACACTATCACATGCATAGAGTCCTGGGCTTGTGATGTTCAAATAGGGCACCACAGCGCTGTCGCTGCCTAGCAATGAGGCCACCCAGCACCATTGACCTATAAAAGCAGTATGTGTATGGAACTGATTGATTTACTAAAGCCAAATAGGCTGTTCACTATGCAAGGGAATTTTCTCTTAGGTTAGTGAATGAGGTGAAGCTCTGCTGACTTCCATCGTCCAATCATGTATAAGCAGAAAGAGTTTTCGTATTGCTTTTGCTTGTGATTGGGTATTCTCTGCAAAGCGCATTTTCACCACATTCACTAAGCGAAGGGAAAATTAATTTGCCAAGTGAGCAGCCAATTCGCCCCTATATTTCTTTTGAAATAAAAAACCTGCCTGTTGGCAAGTTTAATTTTTTGGCTAAAAATCCAGGTTGGCTCCCCCTTCGCCTGTTGTTTTCTGCCCCATCCTCCTCTATTTTGTGTATTCATACCTTCTTACCAGGGGTCTTTGGTTGGTCATATGATGTCATGCATTCTCTTCTTCCTCTGGCAGTGAGCAAGTTCCAATTGCTACAGAGAACAGCCTCACATAACGACATGCCCTGTTCTCTGCAGCATTCACCTATAAGCCCATGGTGTCTTTATAATGAACCCCCAGGGGTAGGGGTCTTGGCGCACTGGGCTCACAGGAAATGTGTTGAATAGTGCTGGGTCGCAGGGCAGGGAGTCTGTGGGAAAAAGGGCTGAAGCTAGGGTGAGTATTGCATTAAAAGCTGTTTTTTTGTTGTTGAAAGTCATGTGCAATGGATTGTTTTACATTTTATTATAAATGTTGAATGTTAACATTACCTAAGCAATCTATAAGATTAAAGTATTGTGTATTCTCAGTGAGCACAAATTTTGAGGTATTATTGCAATGTTTTTGTTCAGATTATATGTGATTTTCCTATTTTTTACATACTATGTGTCACATGACTGTACCATAATTCCACGCTTTAATTTCACGAAAACATTTTTAAAAAACTCATTATTTGTAACGAGTTTTTGAATTTGTGGTTTGCGGTTCTCTACAAATAAATATAATAATAATCCTCATGATTTTTTTCAGCTGTTCTGTTCCTAGCTATCCCTATGTAGATTCAAGTCATAATGGTACCAAATAGGATTTTTGATAATGGTGATTTGGACAGTCTGGGGACACATTTGGCAGTCTATTGGGAGTCTGTAATTGAAAAAAGGCTAAGAACTCCTGCTTTATGCTATAATGCATTGCTAGTTTTATTATGTCTGTATTAAAGCTAAACTCTGGGATACGAAAATATTTACTAACTACAAGTTGTGTATTCTTACCTGAATCTTGGAGAGCATTGTATATTTATTCCCCATCTATGCAGTAATCCAGTGTGAAACTTTTTTTTGTGTGCAGGCGTTTCCTGTAATAAAGACCAGTCACTACTGCTCTTCTTTCTTGTGCAGGATGACTGGTCTTTTTTTCAGCAGGCAGCTTGTATTTAGTGGGCCGTCTGTGTCCCACCCACAGGTCTGCTCAGGCTATGCACATTGATCATGTCACTGCAACTTCTAAAAGGTAATAACTGGGTTTGCATTTAGTGCACACAAAGTGGATTTACATCCCTCGTGGCTGTTTAAATATATTTAGATAAACGTTTACGTGTTTAGAGCTCCACTTTTAAGTGCACGTTTTCTGCATTTAAAAAAATTACAATTCTGTACAGATACATATATTTTCATTGGTATCAAAAAGATTTTTCATCAGCAGAGAAATTAAGATTTTCCATCTAACATTTTCTCAGTTTGTAGAGGGCATGTTTTTAGATATGACATCCTGGCACAAGCTTCACAATTGGTCCTGGCTGCTCTGTAGAGTAGCTTTGTTGTGGTGAAGGTGGAAAAGTCAGAGCTTGACAAGAAGGATGGGTGAGAAACGAGATCCCAGTGCTTCTGAGAGGTGTTAACTGCCCTTGGATAAAGACATAGCCACATCTTCAGATCTCCATTACGTATTTTGCTCATAATGTTGCTATTTCAGTCTGAATGTCACCTATAAAAGAAGAGGTCTCGCTCTCCAGGGGAGCTCTAAATAGAAGCCTTGCTAGATAATCTTTGATTTATAGGCTAACGAGTCCCAGGGTTTAGAGTGAGTCTGCAAACTGCCAGGGGGGTTTCCAAGCCAAGAAACCATGCACTGCTTTGGCAGTACATTGTGGAATGTGTGTGTCCATTTGCTGGGTGGGGACAGGGACTTAACCCCTTAACCACTTGTGGATGTAGACATCTGACAGCCCCTGATTGAATGATTGAAGGAAGAAAATAGTGTATTTTAACTCAATTAAATAATGTCACCTATACAAAAATAAAATAAAATATATATAAATTTCTTAATCCGCATTGGAAAAATGACAGCCACTTTTCTTTAGCTTTTGTGAATTGTTCCTTAAATAGCATATTTCTATTATAGCATATACATGCATAGGGCTGTTCTACTACAAACAGTCCACCGTTCACAATCATAACAATGTTCCCGTGCACCATATGTAAAAATATACCTATCAGTGTGTGCTGATCAATTAGCATGATCATTTTATTGTTATGTAATAAATGGATATACTCATATTAATATGCATCAATCATGTCAGATATGATGACATAGATAAAGGTAATTAGCACAGAACAGTTGATACATTTTAAAACCGATGGAAATTAGGGACTGTTGGCACAAAGTTAATTTGGAAATGATCTAAGAAGCATGTCATAGGTCAGATGCCACTCTAGACAGATTTTTAGTTAAGTATGAACACTTCAAATATTTGTGGCTTATTCCATAGCTCATTCACAAGGTTCCCATATACTAATGTCCTGTGGAAGCTTTAAAAGTTCCTTGAAGATATATTTTGTGTATGTGTGCAGTCAGAAAATATTTAGATCTCTTTAAATGGGTTTGACCAGCCCTGGTGTTAAATGATAAACACTTGAAAGAAGCAGGGTGTTCCTGACCTGTCACACGTGAATTGCAGCTAAAAAAAAATCTTATGCTATCCGGTTAGGCCCAAAATATTTCAAACATCTCCCTTTGGATCAATATAATTAATTCAGTTTACAAATGCAGTAACTAAACTATCTGAATAGATATCGCATCTACATGGTTTTCCAAATATTGGTGTTTCTGAAATTTGGTGTTCAGGAACATCTAGCATATCTACTTTTGTGCTGAGTGGTTACACGGGTGAGTTCATTGGTTACAGAACCTTATTAATTACAATGCGATATGAAGATCAGCTTTAATTTAGTCGACTAAAACGTTTCCTCATAGTTTGTCAGCTGCATGTTTTCAGGGATGAAAACTAAATAAAAACGAAGTTAATAGGACTAAAACGATGATGAAAATACATTGCAATATTCTCTACTGGAGATTTAGTCAACTAAACTAAAACAATTCAGATGACTAAAATATGACTAAAACTAAAATATGACTAAAACTAAAACGGCATTATGGGGTCTATTCACGAAGCAGCCGAAGGATCTAGCCGTAGCTTCGGCCAATCCTTCGGCTAGCTTCGGCCCCAGGACCCCTTCGGTTCAGTAGAACCGAAGAGAGAGGGTTTTTTTTCCTTTTTTTTGACGGCAGCAGAACCGCTGGACAATAGAAAACTGTTGGGCGGAGCTAGCTGTCATTGCTAGCTCCGCACAATCATTTTCTATTTATTTTTTTGTACTTTTTAAACTATTTTTCTGTTCTGCTCGGTCCCTCTGAGGGACCGAGCAGAACAGATATACGGCTGAAATCAGCCATACCAGTATGAAGTCAATAGCCGAACAGCGTTCGGCTCACTTCACTTCAGGTCGGTCTTTCACTCGGCTGCCTACGGCAGCTTAGTGAATAGACCCCTTAGTTTTAGTCCTATTTTAGTCATCTAAATGGTTTTAGTTTAGTTGACGTAGGGGGTTATTCACAAAAGGGTGAAGAGTTTGGAGAAGACAGGAGAAGTGAGCAATCTAGGACAACATAGCTGAATTGGAAAGTGAGCTGAATTGGAGAATTTTTCCAAATCAGCTATGTTGTCCTAGATTGTTCACTTCTTCTGCCTTCTCCAAACTCTTCACCCTTTTGTGAATAACCCTGTAAATTTCCAGTAGAGAAAATTGCAACGTATGTTTGTCATAGTTTTAGTCTAGGGATGTCTAGATACCAGTTCAGATACCAGTGCAGATACTTGGCACTTTCACAAGAACTACCAGGGTTGCAGCGGTTGCACCTGGGACCGAGCTCTGGCTCTCCACCACTGTCCTGAAATCATTAGTCAGTATTGTTTTAGAAAAACTGTCACATAACAATTAACAAAAACGTATCAGTACTTGTATCTGTAAGTACTTGGGCAAGTATCAGTACTTGGAAAAATTGGTATCGGTGTATCCCTAATATATATTTATTTAAAAAAATAATGCATTAAAAGGGGGATGTACAAATCCCAGGAGCTCCGTATGATCTTTACAAATGACAGCTGCCTCCTAATTTTTGAATTTTTCTCTAGTCTAGTCTTGGAGCTGGAAAAGTATCTGTACATGTACTTGTACAGAGTACGGTACTTTGTATCTGAACATTCCTATTTTAGTCCTATTAACTTCTTTTTTATTTAGTTTTCATTTAGTTTTCGTCACTTAAAACATGCAGCTGATGAAAACTATGAGGGAAAGTTTTAGTCGACTAAATGTAATACTAATGAAGAGCATAAGCACTGCAATGGCTGACCATAGATTAGTAATTTTCCTTTATTTTTTACTTTTAAAGAAAAATGTATGTGAATTTGAGTAGTGGGGGTGCTTGAACCATGTCAGGTTGTTACTGCTGACTGTCCCTGCTAGGTTCATTCACCCCCTCTGTCTGTTCTGGTGACGATTTTCATTAGGACTGAAAGTTAGGCAAAAAACTATTTTTTTGAGGGTTATTCACAAAGCTAGCCGAAGGATCAGCCATAGCCCTGGCTGATGCTTCGGCTAGCTTCGGCCGCCGGAGCCCTTTGGTTCAGTCGAACTGAAGGGCTGCTGTACGGGCTATACACTATAGCCCGTACAGCTCCTGAAGCTGGTCGAACGGCAGCGAGAAGCCTGCCAGAGGTTCGGCTCATGTTGGATCGGCTAAGTACAAGCATGAAGTGAATAGCCGAATAGCGTTCGGCTAACTTCACTTCGGGTCGGTTATTCATTGGGCTGCCTCTGGTTGTCACCAGAATAGGAAGAGATGGAAGATCTTCCAATGGGGACACTACTTCTACATTATGGAGGAATTCTATTTTCCAATATTTTTCTCAAATGTAAGTGTTCTAACTTAATCATTTTTAGTTTAGTAAGTATGCAATATTACATTCCTGACATGTCATAATATATAGCACTAATATATATTTTTCTTAAAGACTGTACCACATATCAGTAAAAGCAGTCCTCGAAACAGTGACTTTACCTAGGCTGAGATGATGCCATCAGTCTGCTCCTCTATCTTAGTGATCAGACTGCAACACTGTAGCTTTGTCACAACGTTAAAGTGTGCAGCATGGGCTGATCTGTGTCAGACATTTCTGAACACAGCCAAAAACTGCACAGACAGTGGGATTTACATGATTGTGTGTTATCCCTGAGCCAGCATCTCAGTCCAGGAAGTAGATGCTGACTCTGGATAATGTCTTAACAAAGATGACTCCATGCTTGTTGAAAGAACAACAGATGAAGAAACTGGCAGGGCAGTACCACGATTTTCAAGAGGTCAACACCTCTAAGTGTTAACGCATGCATTCAAAATGATAAAATATACAGTATCTAATACTATAGCCTCTTTAAATGCATTTGACCACATTTTGGCAGCTTGATGAAACTCATTTAAATGTGTCCTGAAATAAAGAATAGAATATTGTTCTGATAAGTATAGAAATGTCATCAGTCAGGACATTGACAAACATATGTCTAGCTGATCTCCTCAGGAACAATGCCTGCTTGTGTTTACAGAGGTCCCAATTAGTAGTTGTAAAGAATAGTATAGCCAGTATAGCTCATACATGAATGTGTTAGAGGGAACTTCTCTGAATACTAATCAGGATGTACCAGGTAATAGAAACAGTGAAGTATATCTTGATCATTAACCCGAGGATTAGGACTCGTTTTTGCATTATTGTCCAACCTTCCCGATGATCCAACTTCCAGTAACATTGAGGGGTCCCTGGCTTCTTGCCTTACCGTGATTTACATCTCTTGGAAGTCCACCAAATACAGAATTTATGACAGAGACTGTCATTATATCTAAAAAAAAAAGGTGGTTTCCAATAAATACAGCAACTTTAACATATGAAGATGCCTCCATGTCACTACACATAGGGGGTCTTACTCTTCCTCAGTATTGGCCGGTTGTATCCGTAAAAACGGGGTGCTTGCTTCATTGTTGATGCTGGAAAACGAAAGTAGCCTAAATTAGACAAACTATTTTCCATCTCAACTGTAAAAAATAAGTCAGGGCAACTGGGGTATTTTTCTTAAAGGAGAACTATGGGGTCAGTGTTTTTCCCCATAGTTCTCCTTAGGGTAACGGCAGGACACAAACTAGCGTCCTCCCGTCCCCCTAAGCTCAGTATACCGCGAGCTACAGCTCGCGGTATACTGAGCTAAGGGTGACGGGAGGACGCTAGTTTGTGTCCTCCCGTTACCCTAAGGAGAACTATGGGGGCAGTGTTTTTCCCCATAGTTCTCCTTAGGGTAACGGCAGGACACAAACTAGCGTCCTCCCGTCCCCCTAAGCTCAGTATACCGCGAGCTACAGCTCGCGGTATACTGAGCTAAGGGTGACGGGAGGACGCTAGTTTGTGTCCTCCCGTTACCCTAAGGAGAACTATGGGGGCAGTGTTTTTCCCCATAGTTCTCCTTTAAAGACGTTTCACTGGTCATCCAACCAGCTTTCTCAATTCATTCTGATTTGAGAAAGCTGGTTGGATGACCAGTGAAAACTCTTCAAGAAAAATACAGCAAGTCCAGTTGCCTTGACTTTTTTTTTACAGATATACCATGACCTCCTGGATGAATAAGAACCTTCACAGACATCTTTCCCATCTTGTTTTTGGCCACATGTTATTATATAAATAAAGCATGAAGTCCACCTATGAACGTGTGATTAGGAATAAAGGCTCGATAAGTGTAACGTCTAGTAAGTAGCATTGAGGAATTAGGGTGAGTAGGTTAATCTCATTTATTTTTTACTTATTACACCATTGCTCTGTTTCCTTTCAGTTGTCACTTTGTGCCGCCTGATGGATTTCAACCTTCTAACAGATTCAGAGGCTCGCAGTCCTGCCCTCTCCCTGTCTGATTCTGGAACACCTCAACATGATCACAGCTGCAAGGGGCAGGATCACAGTGGTAAGTGAAGACAATGGACAGGGAGACATAAAACATTCTAGCCGGCTGGTAATGCAATAAATCTGTGACCTGATCACATTTTAAATTCCTTTTGCCTAAGCACAAAGGCCTGTCCATGGTACTGGGTAGGGCTAGGATCCCTGCAGCCAGACGATTGGGCAGCCTTTCTGCTATACTGATTCAAAGCCTTTTTTGTTGCCTTCCATTTCAACAGGAAAGGGTCAGAGAAAACAACATGGTCCTCCCTCAGATTACCAACCGGTGCTAGAGTACACTGGCCTTTCTACATTTCCAATGCCAGGAGAAATTGCGGGAATGTGGAGAGGGGTTGAGTCAGGCATGTCAAACTCAAACTGAGTAGAATTAATATTCAATCGACCACATTATATCTACTGAGGGCCACATATACCTAATTCCAGAAATAGACAATAGCACTTCCCTACTTAACATTGTAGTAACAACTGCAGCTTCCAACATTTTACCCTAGAAAAAGGACCCTTTTGTAAGAACTGAACTACATAATAAAATAAGAATGTGTGATTATCAGTTGAAGAACAGATGGGAACTTGTGCCACAAGAAGGGGGAAGAAAGCCACATAAGGCCCCAAAAATTCCAGTTTGATATGTGTGGGTTTGTACCCTTTAACCATTCACTGTGCAGCAAAGTTAAAAAAATATTGAAATAAAAGCCCTCTCTCCTCTGTTCATCAACTAATATGTATTAAAAAAATCCATTTGCAAGAGTCTATTTTTTGTTCTTGGATTCACTATTTGGAAGTAACAAAAAGTGCTTAGAAGAATGTTGCATACATGTATACAGAAATACAGCAATAACAGGAAACATGTAAACGATAAATAAAACATGCATATAGAAAAACTAGCATACAGACCAGCATAGACTAGCTTCGCATCATAGCACCATCTAGTGCTCAAAAGACCATATTACATCTCTAAATGTCAGTAATACAAATCAGCATGCTGTTGTATTTCCAACACTGCTTCTCAATAGCATATGCGTTGCTATATGACGTTTAGCTTCTCTCGAAGGAAACTGTGACGATCCTTTGGCAATCGCTTGGCGAGTGTAACCGCAGTCATTTCTTCTGATGAGCAATAATGCATGTCGATAATAGTTTGCTCTTGAGTGTCCCTTAGCAGATAATACTTCACGTTGATATGCTTGGTTCTAGGGTTGACGCTTTCTGATTGTGTCTTAGCAGTATATGACAGCTAGCAGAGAGGTATTCCTTTTGTTGCTCAAGTGGATCTTCTAATTTCAGGTTGTTTCTGCAGAATTTAACATGGAACTTGACTTATCCATTGAGAGTTCCACCTCTTGTTCTGATTCCTGTGCGGCTTCACTTTGCTCAGCTTCTTTGCTGGTTCACTGGGTGAATTCACTTCACAACTACCTGGGATCATTGTTTCTGGAGATGGGTTCTCATCGAAATAAACACTGCGACTTATTGTCACTTTGTCAGTCTTTGTGTTTAGGATTCTATATCCCTTACTAATGTGCCCTAGGCTAGGCTTAAATCCATGCCACATTTCAAATGTGGTGCCTTAAATGGCTTTTGATGGTAGTCTATTTTGTAGGTATGTTGCAGTCCTGACTGCTTCTCTCCAGTACTTCTTAGGTAGGTTGGTGTCTGACAGCATCCATCTGGCCATTTCTGTAAGAGTGCCCTTCCGCTAAACCATTTTGTTTACGAGTGTACGGTGTGGTGGTCTGGTGTACTATACCATGTTTATTCAGATATGATTCCACTTCCTTACTGATGTATTCCCCTCCATTGTCAATGTATATAATTCCTGATTTTCTTTGGAATTTGTTGCTGGACATGACTACAAACTCGAAGTTTTCCTGATGTTTCATTCTTGTGCTTCATCAGATAAGTTGTTGTGTACCTGGAATAATCATCAATGAAAGTCAGTAGATATCTGTTCCCTCCTGATGTGGGAGTTTTCATTGGTCCGCACACGTCGCTGTGTATGAGCTCCAAGGAGTAGGTGGAGTTGTTTGAGTGGTCTGTGAAAGTGGGGTACACGTGGCCTTTGCTTCCATACAGCATTTGTATGTCATGAGCATTTGCCAGGGCAGTATGGTTATATCTTCTGATAAACCTCTTTTTATAATGTTATTTATGGCTTCTGGGTTTCTGTGCCCTAGTCATCTGTGCCACAGATGGATACATTTGTTGTGTGGATTATGAGTGGCTGTCTTGACTTGTTCGTCTGCGGTGATGAGTCTGTACATGTGTTCATCCATTTTTCCTTTTGTGAGAATTTGCTTATAAGGCTTCCTTCTAGGTCTCGGACATATAGGGGTCTATTCACTAAGCTACCGTAGGCAGCCGAGTGAATGACCGACCTGAAGTATATCGCCTGAAATCAGCTGTACATCGGCTTGCTTTGCATGGCTTCGGCTGACCCGAAGTGCAGAAGGAGTTCGACTCAGCCAATCCAACATCTGGATTGCTGGATCACTGCTGTTCGGCCTTTTCTTATAGATGCCGAACAGCAGTGAGTTCCGTGTCAGAATAAAAAAAAAGAAACAGCAGTGTATCTCTCCTGGGCGGCCGGGAGTCTCCCAGAGCGCCAGGGAGAGTTTGCTGTGTGGAGATCAGTGTCCCTGGTTAGCAGGTAACCAGGGACGCTGATCTCTCTGCAAGTGGCCGGAGCCAGCCGTAAGATCACGGCTGGCTCCGCCCAGCTGTCAGAAGCAGGCTGTCGGCCGGCCAATGGCTTTCAGCGTGGCTCAGCCGAGCCGAGGCATATGCGTTCGGCTCGACTGAGCCGCTCGGCCACGTTCGGGAGCTGTAGGGCTATAGTGAATAGCCCGTACAGCAGCCCTTCGGTTCTACTGAACCGAAGGGGTCCTGGGGCCGAAGCTAGCCGAAGGATCGGCCGAAGCTACAGCTAGATCCTTCGGCTGCTTCGTGAATAGACCCATAGTACATTTTTCATGAGGATACTCTGCTTGTTCCCTGACAGTGTGATTTAGTTTAAGAATCCTTTACTGTTACCTTCTGCAGTAATACTTATCCTGTTTGCTAGGAAAACTTTGTCTTTTGGACTGAAATCAATTTCTGTGAAGAATGTCTCATCACTAGTCATGTGAGTCAATACACCATCTGTGTGATAAAGTGTTCTCAGTCACTTTAAAGGTAGCGGTCCATGATGTGCCTGCACATGTTGGGTATCGCCGCGCACACCGGAGTGAGAGCAATAATTCTAGGGCCAGTATTTTGGGGTATTTCTAAATGGATGACCTGTAGGGGCTTTTAAAGCGTCTTCTGTGGACTTTTTGGGGTACTGCAGTTTTTCGCCGTTTCACGGACGCACGCAATTTGTAAACTGGGCATGTTGGGTATCGTTTTACTCGTTGTATCCTCATCTTTTATATTTAATTTAAAAATTGGTATTTTGTTGTATTTTGGGGCATTTAATTAAATTTATCACTAAATTTTGGGCTTTAATAAGGAGTTGCGCTAATATTGCGCAACATAAAAATTTGCAACTACCACCATTATATTGTATGGGGTCTTGGCATTCAGAAAGTATATAATGTGTGGGGGTTTAAAGTAATTTTCAGGCCTAAAATGTGGAATATAACATGGGTGCAAAAAAAGAAAAAAAGGCCTCAGTCATGAAGGGGTTAATATGACAGCCAGGACACTGGTATTTCCAAAAGTATGTCAGCAATGGCAGCCCGCACGTTTCTCTCATATCGAGTCTCTTTTGAAGGCATGTGGAAAGCATTAGTTATCCGCCAAGGTGGTTTCAACAGTTTGCAGCACCTGACTGAATCTGAGTGCATCCTGCAACATGACCTTTTAGTCATCTTTTTCAGACAGATTTCAGATCTGACAATTGCTCGTATTTTTCAAGGACAAACCCAAGTTTTGTACACAAGCCTATTGAAATAATAGTCCCTGGAAATGTCCCTACTTTTTAGAACTGACCCCCTTGAGGCCTCATTCACACGGGGTGTACACTCACAGTAGCCTGTTCTTCCCTATGGGGGGTTGTGGCTGTACGCTGGCATCTTTGCGGGTATGGGTGTCCGAACTTGGACGCTGACAGGATGGATTCTGTCTGTGTCCAAGTGCACACACCCATACCCGCACGGATGTGCAGTTTTGACAAAATTCACTCTTTTCCTGTGTTAGATTTTTTTATTAACCATTATTTGTTTTTCTGTCTTTTTATGTGGCTAATTTAAAAAAAAAAAGTTTATATATATATAAAATGTATATATATATATATACATACATACATACACACACATTCACACACACGCTAGCTATCATTGTTTTAGCATACAACTGGCATGTATGTGAATGCCACATAAAACATAACGGCCTCATGAACTTAAAGCAAATATTGCCATTTTGGATTGTTAAATAATAATATTTTGCTATTCACACATAACAGCAGTTAAATTATAACAAAAAAATTTACAGAATGTGTAAAAACACTGAAACAACTCAAATAATGTATTTCAAGGAACCAGACTGAGTGTTCATTCTCAGAACTGCTATTATGGGATGAAATGTTTTGAATATGGCATGGTTTTTTTAACTGTTACTGTAGAAGTAAAGTTTGGGTAAAACTGACTTCAAGTGCTTGTACAATATTGGCATGGTTGATATTAAAGTGACTGATGCTGGGAATAATATTACAACATCGCCACCTTGTGGACACAGGACCTCATACACAGCCATAACCACACCAGTGCTGCACTGTGAAAAGTGAGCTGGCCCCTTACAAGCTATTAATCGACTTTTCAGTATGAAGGGCTACGACACACTGTTAAAGTATCAAAGTAAATACATTGCGGTAAGGGTGATGTGTAATACAGTGTAGAGGGCTAAAATGTGGTCAGTTTTTTTCTTTTGTTTGTATGACAAGAAAATTACAGTAAATGGAAAACCTGCCATATTTGATATAACCACAGCCAATGGATACAGCCAAAGTGTAAATTGCTCATATAACAG